TGACCTTAGTCAACAATTGTCTGAAAGTACTGAATGAAGATTATAGTGATTTTTTTTTTTTTTTCAATTAAGGATGGGGGAGTGGGGTGGAAATGGCAATGCATGAGCCACTGTGCAGATTCATACAGTGTACAGCACTGATGTTTATATCTTGAAATGTCCCTTTCTAATACAGTATTAATATATTAGAATGGTGAACAACATATCACAGGACATTAGTGTATGTGAATATGTAATGGCTCTTACCAGATTTACCAAAAACTACCTTGAAAAAGTGATGGTACCTATATAATATGGCACTAAAATCATACAAAAATATTCCCAATTTTGCACACGACAATGACTAATCTGTCATCTACTAAAAGTCAGCACTTTTGTTAAAAACAGATACATCAGCACACCAATCTTATAGCATACAGTCAACTAGATAATGCTAATAACTCTAATGTGAAATATAAACTGTCACGCCAACAAGATACGTGTAATGAATGGGACATAACAGACAGCTTTCACCAAACAAAAGAACTCAGTTACAAGGCTTACAAAATTTCCTCCCCTATGAAATCCCCATGATAGAAAATCCCCAAACATACCCATTGACTTACGTTCCAAATAAAACCCAGAAAGCCAAATAAAACTGCATACAATGCCCAAAGTACCAGTAAAGAGTTTTAAAATGAAAATACACTGACCAATGTCTCTTTAAAAAACAGTACTTAAAATTAAGGCCAGGTCAATAAACATTTGCATATATGCAAATGTAGAGACCCGGTCAATAAACATTAGTCATATGCATAGATCACGGCATCAAAGAACATTTTGTAGATAAATATCTAGTATTTTATCCCAATTCTGTAAATCGAATGACCACAGAAGAAAAATATGCAATAAGAAAAAATATACAAGAGGATTTTTAAAAAATAAATAATAATTAAAAATAATAAAAAAAGGGAAACACCATTGTTCTCACCCCACATATTATATAGGACCAGAACCTAGTAATCAAAGTGAATGGGTACACAGCATCTTATTTAACAAGAGGAATCAAGGCCTTTTTTTTTTCCTAAGAAAACCCCACCCTATGTAGTATTTCATGTACCAGATGATGAGAGAAAAAAAAAAAAAAAAAAAAAAAAAAATTATCACTGCCAGAAATCAAGTCTTTAAAAAAATTAAACCAAAATAATTAGCAGCATTTGTCCTGATTTTTTAAATGAAAAGAAATTCTGCTGATGCGGCTAAGCAATAGATTCCCACGGGCACTATTGTACAGATACAAGCCGCATTTCCTTGTGTGCAATGTGCTCAGTGATATTGTAATTGAAAAAAAAAAAAAATAATAATAATAATATACATATGATAATATGGGAAGGTAGCAAGTGTGTCAATAGATGTTGCTGCCCGGCTATTATTTGTGCCAGAGAATATTTGTGACTGTACTGTTCAGCAATTCTATTTACATCAGCAGTGCTAAATGCCCAATGGTGAGAGGGGAGCCAATCAGATGGCAGATTAGATGTCAACTCAGAGGCAGCTGTCTGGAGACTATTACAGCCAGTTTACCTCCACAATTCAAATTCCAAACCTTGCAAAGGAGATCAAGTCACTCTTTAGACTCAAGCTGCTAGCAAGAAGCCTAGAAGTGATCCAATGCAGTTTCTACCCCACTGCAACTATCAACCCAATAAAACCCAAACAAAAGCCATTAAAAGATCATTACACAAGGCAAAAGGAACCTGTTTACTTGATTCAAACCTCCGATAAGTAGATTCACATTTAAACAAAAAGAAGACAAAAGACAGCACAACACAGCAACCATATTATGCACAATGAATGGCAGCCATTCTCTGGACCTGGAACACGAAATAAATAAATGACTACATCTTTCTTTAGGTATAAAATACAACAAAATGACATGTCTTTATAAATGCTTATGTTGACATTTCTATATACTGGTTTGCTATTTAAATTGCTAGAAAAAAAAACAAAATATGAAGGGGAGGGGGGGCAGCTTCAGATGCAAATCATAATTCAGAAATATACACTATTTTGCAGATACTTCCATAGGATGATACTTATATTTGTAATGGACAGAATTAAGTACGATAGTTGTTCTAGATAGAACAAAACTGGTCTGTGCATACGTTTTATTCTGCATTAAAGAACAGTAAACAAGGGTGGGAAACAATACCATGGAACAAAATAATATACTGCAAGGAAGCAAAATACCCAGCTCACATACATGTGTGTACTCTACCAGGAATAACACTTACAATCTGGGCCTGTGCTCTCATTTTTGTCTGTTGATGTAGAAAATCTAGTTTCATGGAACTGCAAAACCTCCCCAGCAGGCTTTCAAAACGCTTCAATGCTTTATATGGAAATAAAAAAGTACATGGGACATGCAGCAACAAAGCTAGAGACTTGTGGGGAAAAAATGCATATTCATACTTCCGATACAAATATTAAAAGGCAAACATGTGAAAAGTAATTTACTAATAAAACAGCAATGTTTTTTTTTTTTTTTACCTGGGATCTGTTGATGGTTTGTCCTGTGCTTCCAGGGCTCATAGCTGGGTGGTTTCTTTGTTGTGCTCCCCAGCCAGTGTTGGTAGCTCCATACTGGGACCCTAGGTCTTTGCCCATCCCTATGCCCCCAGGCTGTTGACTCCCTGGTGTGTTGCTTGACTGCTGCTGGGGTCCACTAGAAGTGCTGTAATCAGGAAAGCTTCCTCCATAACTCCGCATCATAGGGCTAGGGGACGTTAGGAGTTGGTTCAGAGTAGGGGTGGCACCAGATGGGTGCTGGTTTTGTCCCTGGTACCTTTGGAAGCCCCCTGCATTGGAAGCACTAGGTGGCTTACCATGACTGCCACCTCTTTCACCTATCATCATGTTGCTGCTGCCTGGGGTACCAGTGCTACTCTGCCTTGGGGAGCTCAGCACCCCATATGCAGAGGCAGAGCTGCCATAGCTTCCCGCCCCTCCTCCTGCAGCAGCAGCGGCCCTGCTGTATCCCTGGTAGTGGTCAAACTGATTGCTGCCGTACCCTTCATGGGAGTTCTGCATGGGGTCTATGTTGCTGCTGGGGGCCGAAGATCCAGAAAGCATCATCCCCATACCAGTGCTTTGTTGTCTGCCATGTTGATCAAAGCAAGGCCCTACTCTGTTTGTTGATGCACTGCCATAATAATTATTAAATTCAGACGAAGAGGAAGAAGAAGAGGAGGATGAAGAAGAAGATCCACCGTTGCCACTAATATTATTATTATTGCTGCTGCTGCTGTTTCCTTGCTGCTGCCCTCCTCCCAGCACTGCATGCTCATACCGACTGCTCATGGGCTCCCCAGCCATCATTTTTCCCTGCAGATCGTCTTCTTCTCCTGCCTTGCCAGTCCTCCTAGACTGGGGGTCGCCCTGATTAACCAAAGCAACATCTTTTTCCCCTGCACCAGCATTATTACAGCCTTCTTCTCCCACACCAGCATGTTGTTGTTGCTGCTGCTGATTTTCCATATCTGACGCCTCACTGCTGCTATTGCTTCCTCCTCCAGGGCTGCTTTTATTCGGCGTTGGTTGTTGTGCTGCTCCTGCTAGTTGCTGTTGGGGCTGCAGCTGATTAAGTTGCTGGGGTGGATGGTTGGGGTGGTGGGGAGGGTGCTGCTGCAGATGCTGGGGTGCATGGTGGGGTGTATGCTGCTGGCTGAGATGGCCATGGTGATGAGAATGAGCAAGATAGTCCCCAACACTACCACACTTTAACTTGTGGTTGGGGATCCCACTACCCATCTCCATAGCCTGGAAATGGGGTGACACTGCTGGATTTCTCCCGTCCTTCAGTCCTGTGTCCGAATTGCTGCTATTGTTATTGTTCGTATTATTAGTGGTGGAGGATAAAAGAGATGAGGATGATAACGAATTTGAATTTGCCATGTTTACTTCATGGTGGTGATGATGGTGAAGGAGATGGTGGTGGTGATGGTGGTGGTGCAAAAGGTTGTGGTGGTGGAGATGATCCACATTATTGTTCATTCCGCTGTTAGGAGTCCCATCTCCTAATCCAGGGATAGATCCCGAGCCTGGTCCTGTCCCCCCAGGGTTCAAGTCCTGATTCAGTCCAGGAAGACCCTGGTTTTTACCCTTATTGTTCGCATTGGTGGTCGGCGCAGCAGCTGAAACCACTTGCGCTGCCATGATCATTGCAACATCTCAGTCAATCCTGGTGACAGCAAAATGGGGCCCCAAAATGTGCAATAATAACCCACCCCCAAAAAAAAAAAAAAAAAAAAAAAAAAAAATCACAGCACAAAAAAAAAAAAAAAAAAATAGCAGCAAATTCCAAAAAATATGTCCCAAAAAAAGAACGACAATAACTCCAGTAGACGTAAACAAACCTCCAATCGTTTCACGTGAATAAACAAAAAAAAATAATAGAATGAAAAAAAGGAGTTAAAAATAAACAACAGGAGACGAAAGAATGAAAAAAAAGCCTTGCTGATCCTTATGGTCGGTGTCTTTCCTTGCTGTGGGACTTCATGCTGAAGCTTTTGTTGACGAGCATAAAATGAAACTTTTTTTGAGGTCCTGTGTGTGTGTGTTTCTCCTTTCCTTGCTAACCCGGATATAGGTACATACAAGACTGCCTGAATCTATCCGGCCCAGCATGGCTTGAGAGAGGCTCTAGCAACCATTATCCACTTCTTTCTGATTAAAGTGCACATGGAAAACCTGGACTGGATTCTCTTCTTTTCCTGCTTTTTGGAGCCAGGGAAGATTTCTGAATAGCAAAAAAAAAAAGTCTTTTTTTGAAAACGCACAAAAAGTGCCTATTAAAATAGAGTGCCTTGGTGCTTCTGAAACAGAACAAATTTCCCCCTGGTACTACTCCAAACATACAATCAAGCAGCAAGCAGCTGCTGCTGGGGACATGTGATTTGGGTGAACCTTCAGCTCCTCTGCCTGCTCTCTCTCCACCACCCCCTCCCTTCCCAGTGAAACAACAGAAGGAGGAGTGGTTGCAGTCTGCAAGAGGAGAAGGCTTGTGGGAGGGAAAGCTGTGCCAGTATGTTAACCTCCTGTGTGCCACGACGCAAGGCAACACGTAGCCAGCCGCTTTGGCTGCGAATACAAATACAAAACGCTAGTATTTTCATTTGCAAGTTTATTTAATAATACAGACTCGCCATTTCTAAACGTAAAACAAACACAAGGCACGGTTAGGGGTCGTGCACACTGGTGCATTGCAAAACGTGATACTGTTTTTTTTTAAAACGCATATCTAATTTTGAATGTGTTGCGTTAACATTCAATGCGTTTTTATCCCTGGTCACCTGACATTTGACGCCCTTAAAAAAAAAAAGTGTAGTGCGTTTTTGTTGCATTACAATTGATTATGATTAAAAGGTGCGTTTTGGAGCATAGTTTTTTTTCACCAAGGCGCTAAAGATGCAGCATGCAGGACGTTTCAAAAATGCTGCGTGCTGTATAAAAATGCAGTGCATAGATGTGAACAGTTAGATGGGATTTAAAGGGGACTATTTTTCATGTGGTTTTGCAGCACCAGTGTGAACAGGGCCTAAACTCTTGTATTGTCAATTTTATTTAAAGAAGGAATCCAGGCAAAATTATTTTCCCATTCAGTGGGGCTGTGCCCGCACTGCATGGGTTAAATGCCCGTGTTTGTCTTGGGGCTCAGAAAGCAAAGATATACTTACCTAATCCACTGATCTTCCGAGCGCAAGATCAGTCCCTGCTGCTCCTGCCCCCCCGCACACTAGTGGTCTTGTGAATGGGCTGACGTCATCATGCCCATAGACCGGCTGTTGCCAGTGTGAACAGTGTTTACACCCTAGTATTTTCATTTGCAAGTTTATTTAACTGCTTCCCCCCTGCCTTATAGCAGAATTACTGCTACAGGGCAGCAGGGCTGCGCAAAATCACATATATACACATGATTTTTCATTTCCAGGTAGGGGGCGCACACACACGCGTGCGCCGCCCTACCTGCACCGCCATTGTCAGCTACAGATGTTGATCACCGGGTCCCGACTGAAGATTCCACGCCGGCAGCCAGCGAACACCGAGGAACAGTGACAGGGGAGAGACCTGTGTAAACAACACAGTTCTCTCTCCTACCAGCAGTAATATGCTGCTGTGCATTTCTCTGCACAGCAGAGAAATACACAGTAGCATGTCTCCCTAGTAAAACACAGCACAGTGCACAGTTACCTTTTGATTGCCCCAGATGTTAACCTCTTTCTGCCCAGTGTCATTAGTACAGTGTCAGTGCTTTTTATTAGCACTGATCACTGTATTGGTGTCATTGGGATGTCAGTGGCAGGTAGTCAGTTCCCCCCCAGTGTCAGAATGCCCGCCACAGTCCCGCTATAAGTCACTGATCGCCGCCATTACTAGTATAGCGCTATTTTTACACTCTTTGCGGCTACTGGGGTATGATGGCGCCATCTGTATAGTATTTAGGAGCAGAGTCTGTATAATCTGTGTGATCAGGACAAGATCTCTAACAAGCGCTAGTGCCTCCACTCAATTGGGGCTTGTGGATAACAAGTGAAATCCCAACTGAGAAATGTATCATCCACATAGACAGTAATCCACACAGCATTGTATATGAAAGTCCATGTATTGAAGAAATCACATTCAGTGAACCATCCAACATAAAGTATCTTCCAAAAAGGAACATTAAAGCATTAACAGTATTTTTTGAATGTCTCAGTGAGGGGAGGCTGCAACACTTACAGTCTGAGCTCTCTCTCTGCTGGAAATTCACACCCCTCTCTTTTCCACAAGTGCTCTGTCTGATGACCTCATCCTCAGTGCCCAGAGAGCATAGCAACCATATTGAAAAAGGGCAAAACAAACACTGCATAACAGAAGTATACACTGTAAAATGGGCAAAAAAAATTATCACATCACTACAATAGTATAAAAAAAGAATTCCAGTATACATACTGCCACTCATAGATGCTGTAATGAGAGAGATATCATATTACCCCTGTACAAATCATTAGTAATACCTCATCTGGAATATGCAGTTCAGTTTTGGACACAAAAAAAAAATTGGGGAACTGGAGAAAGTACAGAGAAGGGCAACCAAACTGATTGGTTGGCATGGAGGAGATCAGCTATAAGGAAAGATTAGAGGACCTGAATGTATTCTCTCTTAATAAGTGGAGATTAAGGGGGGATATGATCAACATATATAAAATACATCAGTGGTTCATATAGTGAACTCGGTGTAGAGCTATTCACCCTGAGGTCATCACAGAGGACAAGGGGGCACACTTTACGTCTGGAGGAAAAGAAATGTAATCTCCAAACACGGAAAGGTTTCTTCACAGTGAGAGCTGTAAAAATGTGGAATAGACTCCCTCAAGAGTTGGTTCTGGCCAGCTCAGTGGATTGCTTCAAAAAAGGCCTGGATTCTTTCTTAGATACACAGAATATAACTGTTACTAACATTTATAGCTAAAGTTGATCCAGGGAATATCCGATTGCCTCTCAGGGGATCAGGAAGGAATTTTTTTCCCTGCAGGAGCAAATTGGATCATGCTATGCTTTTTTTTTCGCCTTCCTCTGGATCATCTGTGGGTATCGGATTATTACTTTTTTTTCTTTTTAATGGTTGAACTGGATGGACGTTTGTCTTTTTTCAGCCAGACTAACTATGTAACTATATAAACCAATTCATTTACATGCATTGGGATTTTTCTTAGAATATATTTTGGCCTAAATTTATGCTGAAGTTTGATTTTTTAAACATTTTTTAATGGATATGTTTTATAGTAAAAAGTCAAAAATATATTTTTTTTTTTCAAAATTGTCGGTCTTTTTTTTGTTTATAGCGCAAAAAAATAAAAAACCACATATAACACCGATATTTATGGGCAAAAAAGGACATGAATTTCATTTGGGTGCAGTGTTGCATGACTGCGCAATTGTCAGTTAAAGTAACGCAGTGCAGTATCACAAAAAATTACCTGGTCAGGAAGGCAGGTAAATCCTATGGAGGGCAAGTGGGTTAATATTTACAGAGTCGTCATTTGTAAACATAAAACAAACACAAAACATAATAAGGGCCCATTTACAGCAGTGCATTGTAAAATGCGATATGCATTTTTTTAAAACCGTATATCACATTTTTACCTCTGTGACAATGCCCCGGGGCGAAATGCGTCAGTAGGTGTGGATGGAGCGAGGGCTGAGGTCAACGCGAACATTCAACATTGAAGCCATACAGGTCGGTCTGAGCTGAGTCCATTTCCCCCTGTGTCTTCACACTCCTGGATTAGTGTCAGGATGCCCACTCCCATCTTCAGAGTACCGGCGGGGTTATCCCACACTGCCCAACTCTGAGCGGCGTCAAAAGCCTGTCACATAACATTTTTAATGCGTTGCATTAAAATTCAACACAACACATGTTGTTTTTTACATGCGCTTTGCATACATGTTCATCCCTGATCTCCTGTGAAATATTGACAAGTGACTACAAAAAAAACACTTACAAAAACATGTTGTGCATTTTGGTGCGTTTCCATTAAATATAATGAAAAATGCATTTTGGTGCATTTTTCAAACATGTCTCTGAAAATGCAATAAGCAAGACTTTTTGCAAAAACGTAGTGGATGTATAAAAACGCAGCGGATGTATAAAAACATAGTGCACAGATGTGAACACTTAGAAAGGATTTAAATGGGACTATTTTTTATGCATTTTTGCCGTGCTTTAGCTACCATTCTCAAGTCTGATAACAAGGTCCAGGAAGGAGATTTGCCATTTATCATGGATAGATGTAAGTTTAATATTCAATACATTATCGTTCAACTCTTCCATGAATAGGCTCAACTCCTCCAAGGACCCTCTCCAGACCCTCTCCAGACAAGGAACACGTTATAATCCTACACCCACAGTTGGTCCAGAGGAAGGCAAAAAACCCAGCAAAGCATGAATCAATTTGCTCCTGCAGGGGAAAAAAATTCCTCCCTGATCTCCCGAGAGGCAATCGGATATTCCCTGGATCAACTTTACCTATAAATGTTAGTATCCAATTATAGTCTGTGTATCCAAGAAAGAATCGAGGCCTTTTTTTAAAGCTTTCCACTGAGATGGTCAGAACCAGCTCTTGAGGGAGTCTATTCCACATTTTCACAGCTCTTACTGTGAAGAACCCTTTTCGTATTTGGATATTACATTTCTTTTCCTCCAGACGTAAAGAGTGCCCCCTTGTCCTCTGTGATGACCTCAAGGTGAATAACTCTACACTGAGTTCACTATATGAACCACTGATGCATGCAACTATAGAGGATAACAGCCATCCCAGGACCATAGCCAAAGCTAGTGAACAGATAACAATAGTATTCTATTGCCATGCCTGGTGCTTGCATCAATTTATAACAGGCTGTCTCAGATAAAGAGAAGGCAAAGATAGCCAAGCAACATCCAAAAAAGTGGCAGTGAGACTTTGCATCTAAGGTCTGTGTTAAAACTTGGAAGCTTGATGCAGGAGGTCAAGGGAAGCCAGATAGCCAGTTTGTAGTAAAAGTACATAGCAAACTTATGTGCAAACAATGGCTCTCTTATAAAAGTGAATAAAAAGCATATCTCTTTCCACTGCACTCCCCCTGTGGGCATAGAAACATTCGGTCATTTATAAATGGGACATGAAAGCCCTCTTTGGGGGGGGGGTTAGTGAGTTTGATAATAAAGTTTGCAATGCCTCACCCAGGATAGGGAGCTTGTGAACAGAGGGGATTCCCATCCTGGGAAATCAACCAGTAATCCAATTAAAGTAATTGGGAGCAGAGGAGCTACTGCAACTAGTACATAACATTAACCATAAGTATATGAATGCACGTCATTATGAAAATAATACAAGCTTTATATAAGAAAAGATTAATAATAGTGCATACAATCAATGTAGAAACAGGTATTATCAGCAAAAGAGTCCTGGTGGGAATTGTACACATAAACCTAGGCATATATGGTTATTAATAAAGATACCTCTGGGCAGGGGCGGACTGACCATTTGGAAACTCAGGCACTGCCCAAGGGCCCGGGGTCAGTAGGGGGCCCCATGAGATGCCCCTGGTACCTTTTTCATAGGCTTTTTTGAGTTTGGGCAAGGACACAGGGGCCTCATGATCCCCTATTGCCCGGGGGCCCCATAAGTTGTCAGTCCGCCCCTGCTTCTGGATGAATGTTGCAGCTAAGTTCAATTGCAGGGGCCCCTGAAGATGATCGCAAAGAAGTGTCCATCATTGTGTTGGAGACCTGAAGACAAGATCAGCAGTGATGGGGAGATCCTTGAACCATTGTCCAACCAGCCTGGAATGCAGAATCTTACCAGCAGAAACCATGGTGTGACATTGGAACTCAGAGTCAGCCTATCTACTCTGCATCTTAACCCTAGAAGTTTCTAATCTGTCATGCAACTGGATATCTAACTACCAGAAGTAGCAGATGGATGCCTGGCATGGCTCTAGCCTATGATGGTTATTGAGCCCTAGAATCCCAGGGTGAACTAAAATAACTGAAGCTGTATATAAACTCTACTGCAGTAAACAGGTTCACCTATTAATATATTGGAAGGTGAACACTACACATATACAGTTGCACAAACTAGCTATCTGGAACTGTGCGATGTGAGATAATACCAATAGGGCAAAGATATATCTGTAACAATGATTTTGTTGCACACTCAAGAAGCTATGCAAGTAAACTATTAGAACATAAGAATACTTGCCTAATAGTATCTGCTTCTGACCTGGGTGAAATGCAGCAAATCTTGTGTGTATAAGGTCATGTGTCTACTTCCTGGAAACTCCCCTTTTTATAATATCACAGTTCTTCAATTGGGGTTTCTGACCCAGCTAGCAGGGACAAGAAGTATCTTTCTGCAACCAGCTAATTATATGGTAATTAGTACACACAAGCTTTTTACAAATACAGACAGTAGAGGACAGCAGATCCCCACGCAATATCTTTGTGGGCCCCTTGAGACCTATGAACACACCTCTTAGCAAATAGATACTACAGGTGTACCTCGGTTTACGAATGCCTCGGTTAACATAATTTTCAGTTTACGAATGAAAATCCATTGAAAATAATGCCTCGGTTTACAAATTTTTAACACATTTTTTTCGCAATATGAAGTGTATGTCGGTGCTGATTTTTAAATGCAATTGTCAGCTTTTTTTTTCTTCACTATAGCTCCCAGAATTAGCTGTCACTTTCCTGGAAGCTAAAGGATACTTTGTTTCTTTTATCTTGGGAAACAAACAAAAAGGAAACATTGTTTCTTTTAACTCTGGGAAATAAACTAAAAGGAAACTTTCTTTCTTTTAACTGGGGGGAAAGTGACAGCTGATTCTCTGAGCTACAGTGAAGAAAAAAAAAAGCCGGTAATTACATTTAAAAACCGGCACTGACCTATAGTGACATTAATCCGGAAGGGATTCATTGGTCTTCAATGCATTCCTAAACCGAGGTACACCTGTATTTAGCTTCTCCCAGCTAATGGTGCTTTTTCACCAGGATATGGACAGCATCAGGCCCATCTGCTCAGTGATATAAGATGATTGCTAGAATCCTGGGATACCCAGAACCTCTGTGCTAAGGGGCAATGGGAGCATCCACAGCATGCCGAGGTTACTCTGTGGAAAATGTTTTAAGGGGCATGGCTGAATCAAAACACTTACTGTATTTTTCGCTCTCCATAAGAAGCACTTTTTCCCCCCAAAAAATGGGGGAAAATGTCTGTGCATCTTATGGAGCAAATATAGAGTGGCCGGCCTGGTATTCCCCCCCCCCCCCCCCCCCCCCCCCCGTTGCTGCCACTGTGTTAGAATACCGGGCCAGCCGCTCGGCTCTACTGTGCTGAAGAACCCGCTCCTCCATCCTACCAGTTTCTCGGTCCAGTGGTGTCCTGCTTCCATCGGCCGACTTCTCTCCCGGCATCTTCAGTGTGTGCACCTGGCTGTGACAGCTTGTGGCTTCACAGCCAGGTGCCCACTGTGCATGCGCGAGAAGCGCTGCGCTTTGTGAATGACCCCGTAGTCTTGTGGGACCTGTGACGTGTCCGCAGTCTCTGGTCATCTCCTTACTATGTCTGCAGTCTCTGGTCATCTCCTTACTATGTCTGCAGTCTCTGGTCATCTCCTTACTATGTCTGCAGTCTCTGGTCATCTCCTTACTATGTCTGCAGTCTCTGGTCATCTCCTTACTATGTCTGCAGTCTCTGGTCATCTCCTTACTGTGTCTGCAGTCTTTGGTCATCTCCTGTGCTATGTCTGCAGTCTCTGGTTATCTCCTGTGCTATGTTCGAAGTCTCTGGTCATCTCCTGTACTATGTCTGCAGTCTCTTGTCATCTCCTGTACTATATCTGCAGTCTCTGGTCATCTCCTGTAGTATTTACGCCGTCTCTGGTTATCTCCTGTAGTATGTCCACAGTCTCTGGTCATCTCCTGTACCATGTCCGCAGTCTCTGTTCATCTCCTGTACTGTGTCTGCAGTCTCTGGTCATCTCCTGTAGTATATCTGCAGTCTCTGGTCATCTCCTGTACTATGTCTGCAGTCTCTGGTTCTCCTGTAGTATGTCTGCAGTCTCTGGTCATTTCCTGTACTATGTCTGCAGTCTCTGGTCATCTCCTGTACTATGCCTGCAGTCTGTGGTTCTCCTGTACTACGTCCGCAGTCTCTGGTCATCTCCTGTACTGTGTCTGCAGTCTCTGGTCATCTCCTGTACTATGCCTGCAGTCTGTGGTTCTCCTGTACTACGTCCGCAGTCTCTGGTCATCTCCTGTACTGTGTCTGCAGTCTCCGGTCATCTCCTGTACTATGTCTGCAGTCTCTGGTCATCTCCTGTACTATGTCCGCAGTCTCTGGTCATCTCCTGTACTATGTCTGCAGTTTCTGGTCATCTCCTGTACTATGTATGCAGTCTCTGGTTCTCCTGTAGCATGTCTGCAGTCTCTGGTCATTTCCTGTACTATGTCTGCAGTCCATTGGTTCAAAAATGTTTTTTTCTTGTTTTCCTCCTTTAAAATCTAGGTGCGTCTTATGGTCAGGTGCGTCTTGTGGAGCAAAAAATACAGTAATTTCTGTAGTATTGTAGGGTTGTGCCCTAATAAGGGGACTTATGAATGTAGACAGTAAGTAAGTGAATGTTGAGCAGATCTAGGAAGGTATGCTGATCACTTAGTAAAAAAGAAAAGATTCCAAGAAGAATCAGTTCCAAGTTACAAGAGAAAATGTACTGTGCAGTGTCCATACTGACATGATAACATATACTGAGGACTACACCCAGCATATAGAACCATAGTATGGCTGCCATGCAGCACCAATACATATTGAAGAAGAACAAATACTGAGGATTATACCCAGCATACAAGACCACAAAAGTGGGACTTTGCAGTGTCCATATATAGAGAATAAGAATGGATACTGAGAACTACACCCAACATACAGGGCAAGAGAAGTGCTACTGAGTAGTATCTCTAAACACAGAGTAAGAATGGATACTGAGCTATACACCTAGACTGCAGAAGTCTCACTGTGCAGCATCCATACACACAGAATGAGAACAGATTCTGAAAATAACACCCAGCATACATGACAAGTGGTATTGTGTATCATCTATACATATATACTGTAGTATAGAATAAGAGCGGAAGTTAAAAATTAATTATACTCAGGACCATATACATATATATCTATATCTATTTATCTATCTATCTATCTATCTATCTATCTATCTATCTATCTATCTATCTATCTATCTATCTTAAGACCAGAAGGTAAAGCTGGCCATAGAGGGATGTATATTTTGCCAGTTCTACATGGACCAGCTGAATTTTGACCCATTTGTGGCCATCCTTGTTCAACAGTAGATGATCATTAGATCAACTTCACTTGAATGGGAATGTTAAAAACTTGTTGATCAGCAGCCCTCGGACTGAAACAAAAAAAAAAAAAAAGACCTAGCTATAGCCAGCTTAACCATTTGCCCTCCTGAGGATTTACCCCCCTTCCTGACCAGGCCATTTTTTGTGTTATGGTGCTGCGTTATTTTAACTGACAATTGCGCAGTCACGCAACGCTGCACCCAGATGAAATTTATGTCCTTTTTTCCCACAAATAGAGCTTTCTTTCAGTGGTATTTAGAAAATAAAAAGTGCAGCGCTTAAAAATTTGAATAGAATACATAATGTCCGTATAGATAATAACAGTTAATAATAAATATAATTAATATATTAATAGTCCATAGGTGACAATCCGTGCACATATATTGTAAACTGTAGCGATACTTCATTGCTGGTGCTTTGAAACAGTGGGGTAAGAATACGCACTCACCAGATGCGTAATGGTATTATGCATTAAATCAATCAACAGAGGTCCCCTTTAAGGAAATGGATTGAGCCAGGTCAAGGACTATCCTCCCTCTGGGTGGTGTGTGGTACGTCAGGTACTCCTGGGTAGTAAGGGATCCAATCATCCAGAGATCCCCTTTAAGGGATGGATGGGTGTAGCAGTCTGTGTGACAGGAACTCCCTCCTCTGGATACTGTAGTGGATCGGGTGGGCTCTATAAATCAATAGCTCCACATGGGAGACATAGAAAAGTGCCCGTAGTGTAATAGATGGTAATAAATGAATTTATTCCAGAAATAGCAATCCAAATAGTAAAAAAAAAACACACGTAATTTGTTGCTGCATTTATGGTAAAACTCGATGTATTTTCTCTGAAAGAAATGTTTCCTGTTTCCTTGTTGCACTGAAGCAGAAAAGCACATGTGGCCTGTGCACTGTCTGTTATGTAGGGCTATACACAGAATTTCTAACACCATCCGACAGAAGCCAGACGTTAGGCCGGCTTCTGTCGGACAGGCTGCTGTACACTCTGACTGAATGTTTGTGTCTGAATGTTTTTGTTGAACCAGCCAATACCGGCCGACATTCGGCCGGAGTGTAGCAGCCTTAAAGCCTTAAAGGAGTTCCACCTAAAAAAAAAAAAAAAACTGTAGCTGCTGACTTTTAAAATAAAGACACTTATCTGTCCCTCAGTCCAGTGGTATCCTCACCATGGCTGGTTTCACCGGCTGTCTTCTCTCCCTGGCGCCGGCATCTTTAGTGTGGGCACCCGGCTGTGGCAGCTTGCGGCTTCACAGCTGGGTGCCCACTGCACATGTGCGAGAGGCACTGCGCATTGTGAATGGCCCGTAGTCCTCTGGGACCTGTCACGTGTCCCATAAGACTACGGAGAGGGAGGGCAACTTCTGATTCTGATCGCCTAGCCGATCGGAGCAGAAGTGGGAGCGGGTACCTGTCAAATTCGGGTACCCACTCCCCCCCCCCGCTCCCCAAAGGTTTGGGTGGAGCTCCGCTTTAATTCTGAATTCACTTAGGAATGGAGTGCATCTGAAACATCGCTAGCTGCGGTGGGGGGCAGTGTGGTGAATGACATCACACAGCTCTTTTTTTGTACAAACTTTATGTGAAATGTACAAAACGTACACTTCATTCATGACAATGTACTGCAACGCAATGCGCTGAGCTCCTGTACATTGCCATGTGATTCTGCATTGTGCGCTGTGATAAAATGCTGCATGTCTACAATTTATCACAGCACGTTGCAGAGCAGCCATATGCTGTGTTGCAGTGTGAATGTGAAGCAATTGTTTCCTGTGTGTTTTACAATGCCAGAAAAACATCTGTAACTGCACACAGTGTGAATTAGCCCTTAGTCTGGTGGAATTGGTTAGTTATGCCTGTTACTGGGAGGAGGTTGCAGTGAACAGTGTAAGGGGGTCAGCTCCCTGGCTTAGAGAATATTTATCTGACCCAGAAAATCCCCCTCTTCCCTTTGGTCTCTTCCTTTGGGACAGGGGTAGGCAATTCATTTTCTCAAGGAGCCACATAGGAAACTGAGATTTTATTATGGAGGGTTCAACTTAATTTTGCTCGAAATGTATTTTGGACCTGGGAAGGTCTATAGGTACAAAAACATATAAAAACTAACACCTGGCACTAGTAATAATAGGTACAACTGCTCATGAAATGGGTATCGTTCAGAGGGTCATTCAGGAGGATGGTAAAAATGGGTGACTGAGGCCTGGTTTTATTTCCCCCAGCTGTCCACCCGAGGTCTAAATTAACAGTGGGCTGGGGCCAGGGGCAGACTGACCATTTGGAAACTCGGGCACTGCCCAAGGGCCCGGGGTCAGTAGGGGGCCCCATGAGAAGCCCCTGGTACCTTTTTCATGGGGTTTTTTGAGTTTGGGCAAGGACACAGGGGCCCCATGATCCCCTATTGCTTGGGGGCCCCATGAGTTGTCAGCCCCCCCCTGGCTGGGGCCGTTCATATGCCGTGGTTGCAACTTTTTAAATTTAGTCTACAGAGTTTGACAAGCAAAACTTCTTTTCAAACTCGGGTCATGCTGCAAGTGCATGCAATGCACGCAATTGCATCATGGTGGTGCAACATTACAGGGTTTAATCAGGAGGTGAGGAGGTGACATGATATCTCCTCACTGTCTGTCAAATGTCCTCTGATAAGAACTGTGACTGGAAGGAGAGAGATCATCACAACAGGAATTTTTGCAGATCCTGACCTGGAGTGAAGAACAGGTGACCGTCTCCTTGGGTTTGCAGTGTGCAGGTGCTAACACAGGAAGAACTTGGCCAAGGAGCAGAGTGGTGGAAGAGCATTGGGATGTCTCCTGGACAATGCTTTCCCCAGACAGAACCAAGTTTCCTCGCCATAGCAGACTCTCTCTTCCACTTCTTGCAGCTCTCTGCACAGACATCTGTCAGTGTGCCTCTCTGAGGCTGTTAGCTACCTCAGAGAGACATGTTGACAGTGGACGCACCAGGGGTCGGATTGGGACAGCCAAAAGACCAGATATGCCCCCAGGGTCACAATTTGCCCAGGTCTGTCCTAGGAGGATGTCTACCTACAAGGTTGTATCTATACGCGTCTGGGATCAGTGGTATACTGTGATAGGGACCCTAATGTAAGGGGGGACTCCAAAGAGGACCCTGATGTAAGCAGGACTCTAATTCAAAACAGGGCTGTGATAGGGACCTTGAGCTATTCAGCAAGGGGGGACTCTAATAAGGACCCAGATGTAATAGAGACTCTGAATTAAAGGGGACTCTGATGTAAGGGGGGCTCCAAAGTAAGGGGGGGGGTCTGATGGGGATCCTAATGTAGGGAAGGACTATAATTTAAGACAGAACACTGATGGGGACCCTTATTTAAGGGAGGACTCCAATAGGGACCCAGGCATAAGGGAACCCTGATGGGGATATTTTTTTCTGTCCGCGATTATTCGTAAAATGTACAATGCAGCCCTTGTACTGAACATTTGAAGACCTCTGGCCTAAAGGATTACTGCTTGAGCCTTGTCTCAGGTTGAAGCATGTTTTGAAAGCCCAAGAAACTGACATAAGGGAACAATTTCCTGAAAAAGCTGGGCTCACAAAGGATCTTCTTCCTGAAGAGGTTCACAGAGGAGATGGGTAGAGGCTACTACTGGACATTGTATGAAGGATACATTGTAAAAAATATTTAGACAAGCGCTCCTCAGGATGCGAGTATTATTACATCTCAAAGCAGACCGTATCTCCTTACCATAATCCTAATGTGCCAAAAAAATATATAAATAAACATACAAAATTATGTCTCATAACAAGTGAAAAGAAATATCTTAAATATTATCACATCTATATCATATATCCGT